AATTATATAAATATATATATATATTTAAATATATATTTTATATTTTAAATTTATATAAATAAATATTTTTAAATATATAAAATATATTTTTATATAATTTTTATTATTAATAATTTATTTGAAAATATTAATATTTAATTCATAAGTAGTATAATAAATAAAAGTCAAATTAATTAACAAGCTAAAAGAGTCTCTATAAATAAATACTCTAATCGAGAAAAAAAAATTATAAAAATATTCTCATGTAAAATAACAGTTCATGTTTAATATATAAGAGTAAATTTTAAAAATATATTATTAATTTTTACAATAAAAGTCATTTTAATTAATAATTTAACACCTCTAAAAAGAAAGATGTACCCTAGAAGATCAAATGTATAATAACTATTCCAACCATTGATATTTATGATAAAATCATGTATAATAAAATTTATTAATTAGAAAATCTACAATTGATATTTTAATTAATGATTATTATTATATTTTATTCTTTAATATGACATTTCTACACTTTAAAAAAATCAAATATGTTAATTAAATACTAATTTATTCATTAATAATGAAACATATAAGATAATTAATATGCTTCCTTTTCGTTTTATGAACTTTAATTTACAATATTTTGTTTTTATCCTAAAAATATAATGAGAATATCAAAGTTTAAATATATGATCTTGTATATGTTATCTAACCTCTTGTCCTAAAGTTTCATTACAATGTTACATTCTTGAATTTTACGAGTTTTTTTTATAGAATAATTGAATTATTAAAATCAGAAGGAAAAAAAAACTCCTGTACTTGTATGATTAGTTTTGAATTCTAGCTTACCCTTCTGTTTCCATGTGGATGGGACTGGGATGATCATACTTGGTATGAGAGCAGGTCAGGACTAGCTTGGAGTTGAGGTGACCGCTGCGAGACGGGAAGTTTAATCCTCGTGTTAGAGTTACCATTTTGGGTAACGGTTTCGTTTGTGCTTGACTGGCACTAGAGTCATATTATTTTTGGGATGACTGTATATATATGATGTTCTATTTTATAACCAGAAACTTAGTTATTTTCATTCTTATTTATACCAGTATGTATGAGTTATCCAACTTAATATTTCTCTTAGTTCACTAGCAGTAGTGCGATTCCACTAAGTGTAGAGACCATGGCAGGTCGTTACAAGTTCTAAACTTTAAAAGGATGAAAAACAAATAAATTTTTTTAGAATGACTAAAATCAAAACTTGTTTATTTTGTAAGGACTAAAAATATATTTAATTCTTTTAAAAAAATACATTAGTTATAAGTTGTTAATATACTCCTTTCAAAAAATAAGTGGGTGCATGTTAGCAAATCCCATAAGCATTTGTTAATTTACACCTACTTTTTTTTAGAAGGAGTAATTTAACATGCTAAACTTAGTTAGGAGTAAGTTAATTTACACCTATTTTTAAATTTACAAATTTGATTTATATATTAAAAAATTTTAATTTAATACACACATTCTCGAGAACAGAGGAAGATGACGTGAAATAAACTTTTTAGGTTATAATATCAACATCAGAACTTGAACCTAAGATCCTATAAATACTATCTCGATCCCACTACTAATCATAACTTTGAATAAAGGAGATATTTATTTTATGGTTTTATTTTAATATATTTATTTTTAGTAAAAAAAGAAAATTCCTCATAAATAAGGTTATTTATTTTCTAATTTTTATATTATTAAATTATATTTTAACATTTTCATAATTAATTAATATTTTTATTTTATTTATTCCAAATTTTTGTTTAGTGAGCATTAGCTATCATAAATTTGACTAAATTATACTTTTAATCCTTTTATTTTGTTAATTTACAATTTGATTTCTTTTATTTTAAAATAAAGACATTTAATTCTTTTAAACTCTAATTTAAAAATTGCAAAATTTGTCTTTCAATCAATTTGATATCTGATAGTAAATTTGATATCTAATGTTTGAGAGTTCATTATAAGAATTTTTGATATTTTAAAAATTAAAAACAAATTTTAAACTTGGAGAAAAAAATATATACTCCAAATTCGAGGAACTAAAAATATAATTAAACTTTTTTGTAATTAAAAATACTAAGCAATTTGATATTAAAAAGAAAAAAGAAAAATATTTATGTACTATTTTTTTTCCTTTTGAAAAGGACATGTTCATGTATTTTTTTTTTTTAAAAAAAAGTTTATATTAGGGTAAGATATACATCTATGCAAGAAAAAACCCAATTACTATTTTTTTTAAATTTTTTAGTGAAATTACAAATCGCCTATCTCCAACACAATAAAAATTATGTTGCATTAAAATTTAATGAAATAAATGACTAATTTATATATTCGTTTAATTTATGAAAAATATTTAATGCACCCATGTGCATACATGAATATGCAAGATAATGTAATTAATATTTTCTTGTGCAGAGAGAGCTATTACTTCTAAAGAAAATTTATTTGTATAATAAATTAAGAAAGAGTTATAGAAATGAGATAATCAATTCAATAGGATAAATATCAATATTATAAAGGATTGCTTTTGTGTATTTATTTTAATTCTTCAACAAATTTTATTTAGTTTTAGTGTCTAAATTTTTTTCCATGAATAAAAAACTTTAACGTTAGGATCAAAAGGTTAATGGAAAAAAATGTTAAAGATTAAAAGTGAAAATTAATACAAATTCAGGGATTTAAATTAGTAAAAAATTTGTTTAGGGACTAAATTTTTTTTCACAAAGTTTAGAAATTAAAAATATATATATGACTCTATTACAAAAGACATAAGAGTGGTTTTTTGAATGAATTATTCAACTCACTTTTATAATTTACAATTAATTTTAATGAACATTAAATGAATTATTAAAAAGAGTTATGATGCTTCATTGATGTTTTTCTTTAAACACCGTAGAAAAAATAGAAAGTAATCTTAAAAGAATCTATTCAATAATCTATTTGGTTGAATGGGAGACAAAAAAAAATTGGTGGATTCATGAACTCTTGAAAAATAAAGATCCTAAGAAATCCAATTGACATCCCTTATAACCCTAAAACAGTATTGGAATGGAACTTTCTTCTCTATTTAAGGTCTATCTTACCGTTGTCAATGACTTAATAAGATTTTCATAGTTAAAATAGGCAAAATAAATACCACTTTTTCTTTGGGAAAACCGTCTATTTCGTTACCCCTTTTTTCCATACATAAACCATCATTCCTTATTTAATTTTCTTTACAATCATCTTATCTTGATTCTAAAAAATGTTTTTTCTGTTCTTTTCTTTCATTGGGTACTTAAATATTTCAGTTTCATTTTCTTTGACAATGATACATAAATGCCACCACATGTGGACTGTGTGAACCAAACCAAAAGTTTTCCAACACCAAAGAGAAAGAAAAGATGGAGAGTTCAATGAGACTTGGGTTGATGACTGTGTTTGCTGTATCAGGAAGCATGGTCCTTTTGTTTCATCAAGTCCATAAGCATTTGTTCAATAACTTCATGAAGAAATTTGAGTGTGAAATTCGAGGTACGTATCTTGTAACCCACATGACCAACTTTTTTCTTTTTTTAGGAATGGTATCATGATTTTGTTCCACAAGAAACGTAGGAAGCATTCTCTTGAACAGTCTTTCACGAATATTCCCCATCGAAAATTACAAATTTTGATAAGTTAAAAAAGTTCATTAAATAGACTTATAGAATTTATGATTTGTGATGTTTAATATATTTTAATTAATAATAAAAAAAACATTAAAAAGAAAGTGTTCGAGAGAGTTTCGTTAACATTCTTCTTTATTCAATTTTCTCAAATTTCTCTAATTGAATTTGTCTATGTTACATGTTAGGAGAAAATCTATATCATATTTTCTTTTTATTTGTTTCAAGGCTCGACAAAACATCACAGCAAGAAGAAGGTGCGATTTGCAAAAGACGTGGTGGAACTTCCAATGGAGAATAAGAGTGATCTTACAAACGTGGGAAGGGCTCAACAAGTCATTGAGAAGGTTATGGTTATTGATGATGTTAAAAAGTGCAAGCATGAAAGGAAATTGAGGGATGTCATGCCTACTAATAGGGCTGTTCTGTACAAAGGGATTATGAATGATAGGAAGGGGAGGTTTGGCTTTTAACTATTTGTTCCCTTTTCCAACTTAATTAGAAGGTTATGGATCGACCCACATAAAGTAAAATATGTGTAGGGATGCATGCACTTTGCAATGCTATAAATAAGCTTATAAATAACATGTTGATGTGAGGGATATTGATTGTTTTTAGTGAGAGAAACTTTTTCCTTCTCTCTCTTTTTTTTAAGAAATTTATACATACTTTTAATAATATTTATCTATTTATATTTATTAAAATATTATTATATTAAATTAATAGATTATTGTAACATTTATTTAGGAAAATATTACTATAAATAAAGTAACATTATTTATTTTAATATTGTTTTTTTATAATTTTTTTAAAAAATTAAGTCTCACATTAAGTAAAAAAAAGATACATAAAGATATAATTTTCTAATTTCTAACTATTTTTTTAAAATTAAAATCTCACATCAAGTAAAAAAATGACATACACACGTACACACACATATATATAGATAGATATATAGATATAATTATAAAGTAAAATTTAAGATAAATGAATTTTGATTTATAATCTAGATTTAGTGGTGACTAACTTAAGATATCTTCAACCTAAAGGAGACTAGCACAGGATCATTTATGTGAATTATGAAAATATATTTAATTAGTCATAAATATTTTTGGAAATGTTTTTAAATGTTTCCTGAGAATCAATGATTTTTATTGTTATATTAAATAAACAAATAAAGTTAACATGACATTTATAATACATTAAAATTTTATTTTTATCATCTCTTTCATGAGAATAATTATATTTGAAACCTATACAAAAATCATTTTCTAAAAATAATATTTCTTAAGAGTGTTATTTTTTTAAATAACAAATCAAAAGTGAGAAGTAAACATTTCTAGCGTTATATTCTAAATATTTTTCATGTACCAAACGTCCCTAAAGAAGTCATATATAAAAGTCATAAGATATAAAATGATAGTGTAATCTATGTTAATACCAATTATCATTTTATAAAATTTACAAAAAACTAACAATATTATTAAAATGTTATAAAATACTACTTTAGTACATTTTTTTAAATGTCACCATTAATATGTAAAAATGTTATTAAAAGTGTAACATCCCGAATCTTTTACATAGTTAATTATTATTATTTTATATTTATGGAGCTCATTTTATTAAGGGAATTTTATAGAACATTTTAGAGATTTTTAAAAAAATTAATTTTTATATGAAATTATGTTTTTTTAGGTCCAGAACGGGCTGTTCCAAAAAGTGAAACGGGCCGTTCCAAACGATGAAAGTAAACTATTTTTGAAGGACCAAAACGGGCCGTTCCAAATGGTGGAATGAGCCGTTTCAAATTAGTAAAGAGGCCAATTTTGGTTATCCAGAACGGGCCGTTTTCAAAGTGAAACGAGCCGTTCCAAGATTCTAAAAATGCCTAAAAACCTTAGTTAGAAACGGGCCATTCCAATTATGGTCAATATGTGTTAAAATGAACCCTAGAACGGGTCGTTCTAATTTTGAAAAGGGGTCGTTCAAATTTTTAAAACGGGCCATTCTGATTTTGAAAACGGCCCGTTCTAATTGTAAATTTTGCATATAACGAATGGCTCCAGAACGGGCCGTTCCGAGTACTCCTGAATGCCTATAAATAGGAGGGAGGGGCTGTGAAAAAATTATAACTGACCAAGGGTGAAAACTTAGAGAGAGAAAGAGAAAGAGAGAGAGAGAGAGGGAAATAGAGAGAGAAAGAAAGAGAAAGAAAGAGGGAATCTAGAGGAAGAGATTAGCAAGGTTCTGCTCTAGTTTCAACTCCTACTTATCAAGGTAAGGGGAGAGTGAGAAACCTCGCTCGGCGGTGTGGGAATAATTGTTGGATAGTCGGATTGACCCCCAATCCCTTACTTGATGTATGTTTCTAGGAACATGAATGTGTTCTGTTTTACTTTCTGTTTGCCCTACTGTGTTCCTTGTTGGAAGTAATGAATGAATATGTAATTAATTTTAAAAATAAATAACTTTTAATATAAATAAGAGTGCTCTCTGTGGATTCCGTGATAAGTGAAATGTTGAGTCAATGAAATTGTAAATGTATGACATGCATCATATACATATATATAACTCTAGGTGTGCCGTTTAGACTGCATACTAGTGATGTAACATGCTAACAAGATGTACCTTAGGGTCTCCCACAACGTAACATGCTAACAAGGTGTACCTTAGGATCACCCACGATGTAACATGCTAACAAGGTGTACCTTGGGTCACCCACGATATAACATGCTAACAAGGTGTACCTTGGGTCACCCACGACGTAACATGATGATATGATGAGAAATGTGATTATGAGACACGTGATTAGCGCCACATGCATGCATCTATGAGTCGAGTCCATGACATCATTGCATGATGAATTAATGACTGTGCATGTGTTATTGTTGTATGTGAAATTTGAATTTTCACTTGATTAATGTGACTGTGCTTGTATGAGTTGTGTGTGTATCTTAATTGTTATTTCTACACCTAGAATCGAGTGAGATGTTTCTCAATCCCTTGTTGTTCTTGTATATGTACTTTTTTTAATATGTGTATATTTAAAGGATGACATTACAAAAATACAAAAATAAAAATAAAAATAATTCTGCTGGTTACTATATAATCAATGAGATTTTTTTATCATCTTACTAAAAACAAAAAGGATATGCACTTTTCTTTTTATTAAAAATAGTAGTAATGATGATATTACTATCTAATGAATGAGATTCTTAATTTTTTGTTATCTTACAAAAAAATAAAGTTTTAATAAATTAATTAGATGAAACAATAGTAAATAAATAATGTGTAATGATTTGTTTAAAATTTATTAAGATTTTAATGAAATCATTTATAACAATTAAAAATATTTTTTAGGTACATAAACAATTAAAATTATTAAATTTTAATTTAATTATTTAACATTAATTATTTTCTATAGGAAAAAAAGCATTTATAATACTTTTAAAACTTTAAATTTCAAGATAGCAATTATAGTATTTTTAAACAAATAAAATTATTAAATTTAAAATCACTAATTTAACTCCAACTATTTCTCTTTTCCAAGAAAGTAACGTTTACATTTTTTAAAACTTTAAATTTCAAGAAAAAAAATTATAAAATGGTAAAGAAAAAAGAAAAGCTTTGCATTATTATTGTTACACTAACAATCTGGTCATAAATAATGTTATATGATAAGTTTATTAACTTTTATAATGTTAGATCAAAAGACAATCTTAGATTCCTTAGAATTTCAAATTTTAATGTCAACAAACATAGAATTGTTTTTTGAGAAAAATTTTAGCAAATAAAGCACTAAGATGAATAAGATACTAAACGATTAAGCAATCTAGTCAGACAAAGTACACAGCTTGAAAGTCACATGTTTTTTTCCCATATCATTATGATGCCTAGTAATATAATCACTTGTGTTGTATGATTTCTTAACAAATTGAATGAAAAAACTTTCTCGTTACTCACATTCAACTAAAAGGAACAAATGGCATGTTTTGAGTCATAAAAAAACAAGTAGATCCCTTGAATCACGGAAAGCGCTAGTTAAACCTATTCAAAATTGTTCTAACTTGACACACGCATGGTTCCACCCATTTGGTACCTAAAAGGTTGTAAATAGTCCCCTTGATCAAATAAGAAGTGATGATTTGGTGAAATATATTTAATATATCAACAGACACATCTTTCCACAAGGAACGGAGGTGAAGACAAACGAAGCAAGTCTATGAGAGATGCTCAAGGATTTACAACGATCATCTTCATTGAAACACTTATATAAGGAAGCATGACTATTTAGAAAGAAAGAGTTGTTGTTGTTATTTTTATTTTTATTTTTAACATATTCATTCTTTCTATAAATCAATTTTATATTATATTGGTTATATCATGTGTTGAAAGTAAGACAAAATAACACCATTATCTTACCCAACTATAACTTAGTGTTATTGTTTTAAGCCTAAAGAGACTTGTTTGTAAAAGTATACTTGGTTGTTGAAGTCTAAAGAGACTTTGTATTAAATAATACTTGGTTCTTGAAATCTAGTGAGGCTTTGTGTTAAAGAATACTTGGATAGTTGCTTGAAGAGGCAAGTCAAAGAACACTTAGTTTTAAGTCAGAAGTGGCTTGGAAAAATAATACTTGTATCTTTGTATAAGATAGTAGAACTTGATCTAGTTGGATCAAGAACTTGATGTAATCTCAATGGTTAAGACGAACCAATATAAAAATACCTTATTTTTATCACTGGAGTATCATCACAAGAGATAATGTTGTTGTGACTAAGGCTGAAATTGAGTATGCGTAGGAAGACAGTATTTTGCAAATTCTACAATTGCAAAACTGCTAATGAGATGTGGGAAGCTATCAAGATAAATCATGAGGACACTAAAGATGTTAGGCTTAGATGAGTTTCCACTCTTTAGAGTAACTATGAGTTGTTCTCTATGAAGGATAATAAAATTATTGATGAAATGTTTGGAAGATTCAAAACAATTATGAATGTGTTAAAATTCTTAGGAAGTGAGTTGTCCAAAGTTTAGAACAATCTCAAGTTTTGGATAGCCTTCCAAGGATCTAGGAATTAAAGGACACCGCCATATTTGAAGTGCGGAATCTCACGATTCTCACTCTTGATGAACTTTTAGGAGCCCTAAGAGTTCATGAAGTCCACTTGAACAACAAGGACCAGCTCAAAGTAAATGGTTGTGTTGCTCTAAATATCGGTGAAACAACTAAGAAAAGAGAAAAAAAAGCTTTGAAGGTTGAGTCTAAGCATAGTAGCTTAAATGAAAGTTTTGAAAACTCAACAAATGATGAGATACCCTCATGTCTAAGAAATTTAAGAACATGTTGAAGAAAAAAGGGAAGATTGAGGAGCTTCCACAAAAAGAAGGATAGGTTTAAGAAGCTTAATCAAGATGACAACAAATAGGTCATCTACTATAGGTGTAAGAAACTTGGAAACATAAAGGTTGAATGTTTTACACTTAGAAAGAAATGGACTAGCAAAAAGAAGGCCAAGAAAAGTTAGATGGCCGCATGGGAAGATCTAGACAACAACAACAGTTTAGACGATGAAAAGGCCAATATCTATCCCATGATTGTTGGCCTTTTAAAAATTGTTTCTTGGCCTAATTAACATTATTAATGTGAAATAAGCTTTT